ATAAATAAATAATAAAATATACATTATTAAAAGAATGTATAAACTGAAGGGCAACTAAGATTTTCAAAGTCCAACAGAACCATGATCTATACTATTGCTACATATTTATGCAGACAATTTTAACATGCCAACACATTGCCAAAAGTCTGAATTTAGGTATGAGCAACCCAGGCTGTTTATAATATCGGGCACTTTGATATGTCTTCCTTCACAATCCTGTTCCAACTCCTTTTCTGCATTGATTCAAGCACATAGGAAAAACCATCTTTACCTATACCAAATTTTGGTCTGTATGTAGATATCACCTTTTGATCTTTATACCTTTCCCCAAAAACTATATGTAGGTTTAGGGGATCCCTTTCTTATCACGAGAGGTAGGCACAAGAGGAAAAGGAATTAAGTAAAAGTGACTTCCCAATTTTCTTGCACTAGCTTCCCCAAGCACAGAACCCTTTTCCATTGGAACTATGAATCATGCCTATATTCTGTAAATATTCATTTTAAAAGTCTATTTGAAGACAATTTGATTATTCTTTTTGATCAGAGAATTGTAGGATCATCTGAAAGAAATAAAAAACTAGTAAATAACAAGAATGTGTCTACACCACACAGTATGGTACCATTCAGTGCAATTGTCTGATGAAGTAGACATATGCTACCAATTTCTTTCTCTCTGTCTCAAAGGTGCTGTAAGATCCCTTTGCAATATGATTTCAGTTCACTTATCATACTCCCTTTCTTTTGAATCATGGAAATTATTTGAAGTACTTACACCTTTCTGATCAAATGCTCTAGTGCCCTAGTTCAATACTATACAGTAGAATGGTCTAGCAGAGAATGTAAGGGACTCTCCAAACCAACGCAGTTGGTTGGGAGAGCGATTTGCCCCTCCCCCCAGAAGGCAGAGAATGGAGGTTCCTTCGAACCTCCTAGAAGAAGGGAGGGGGCTGGCTCATCACGTGAGCCAGCCTCCTTCCTTCAGTCTTGCTAAGACTTTCTACCCGCCACTCCCGCCCATTGACAGTATATTTGGTTGCCCGTTGGAGCCGGGTAGGAATTTTTTGCCTCTCATGTTCTGGGGGGTTTTTTCGCCTACCCTATACTGTTATTAGGGGCTAGATGGGGTGGTTCGGTTTAACTAGGTTAGCATAAATAGATCAGGAAAACACAAACATGGAGGTATACGCAAGGCACCCCTTAAGGGTGGGGGGCAGTGTACAACAATCACTCACCTAGAAGTCACCAAATGGGTGAGGGGACATCACTTGGCACAGAAATTGGAGAAGCCGATTACAATAATATGAGACAGGCTTCTCCAGACTTTTACCTTCAGGTTGCCTGGTTGGGGATCCAGGGCACACAGATATTACACACTAAATAGCCGAGGACGCTGCCTCGGCTAGCCACCAAGTTCCTAGACACATAGTTTAGTTCAGTTGAACTTAAATAGGTAACATTCAATAAAAGTTGCCCAATTTGAATCCATATCATTGTTGTCTGTCTCGTTATTTCTGGGGTCAAGGGGCAAATCCCATTTCTTTTGGTTTCATGTGTGGGCATTGTTGGTTAAGATTATAAGATTTTTGACAAATTCTTCATATTAAGGAGAGGGGAGCTTGTCTTTCTTTCTTTCTTTCTTTTTTCTTTTTGCTGCTCTGGAGGAGGTTAGGACATGGAAGAATAAAATAGATTTTATCTAAACATTATATAACTTCCTGATGATAAGAGCAGTTTGGTAGTGGAACAACACAGCCCTCCCTAATCCAAGTCTGACATTCCATTCTCTTAAAAGTTTTGACTCCGGCTCTTTAGGATTTTAAATTTTAATACAGGTTTCTTGGACTTGGCCTAGAAAACAGCACTCTATTGTAAGACCATGCTTGTCTGCTGAGTTATTTACCATTCCATTGATTTTGAACACCTCACTTTTTTATGCTTAAATCATCTCCTTGGAAAATGCAACTCAACTCCTCTCCTCTTTTCATCTCTCCTCTCTCTCTCTGTTTTTTTTTTCAACTGGGAGCAACAAATGCTACTTCATTTGAAATCTGGCAAAAAACCCACGGAGTATTGAAAAAAAAATCCATTTCCTCACCTCTTCCTGAGACATTGAAAGAGACTGCTGCCCCCTACATTTAAAAGACTGAAAAACCACACTTTGACCCAAACTAATGTAGTAGCCCCAGTGGATGCCTGGATTTTAAGTGTAGAATTCAATGGATTTTAACTAATGTGGTGAAGTGGTTAATGAACAAGTATTGCCCGATAGATTTTGCTGAGAGAGGGGCAAAATGAAATGTTCCCTCACAAATGATGTTTTTTTTGTCAACCAGTGACATTTGCCTTCTGTTCCCAAATCCCTAACATTGTATAAACTGAGACAACAAACACATTCACATCAAAAACATATTATTGTGTGTTCATTCACTTGATGATTATGCTTCCCCACTTTCTTTGTATGCCCCTAAGCTGTATTTGTTAAATGATGGACTGCAGTGCTAGGAATTTGAGGGATGAAGAAAAAAATCATGGGGAAGTGAATTTTTGGAGGATGGGGGAACATGCCCTCTTAGGTGTCACCCTTGGGAACATTGTGCATAGGGGTTATATGTGCACCAGCTGTTTCTCTCCTTGGTTCCTTTTTCTTCAGTGTCTTTAGTGCACACATACAAACAACTTTTCACTATATAATCCCCAGGTTTAAAATACAACTTATATAAAAATACCCATTTTCCCTCTTCTAGTGGCACTTACACTGAGATTTGTTGGATACCTTGAGATATGAAGAAACACCATTTATGTATTTACTTACTTACTTACTTATGGTATTTCTATCTCGGCCCAAAGGTGTCTCTAGGCAGCTTACAAATTGGCAGCAATTTGATGCCACAACAGTCATAAAATACAATTAAAAAACATTTAGCACAACATTGTAAAAATCCATACAAAAAACCATTAAAAACATATAATCACCAGTGACTTCCTGTTAAACTCATTTTTCCAGTAGCATCGTCTAGCCATTCCATGTTCATTCTTACATAGTTCCATGTTTATCTGTTATGCTGCATTTCCAAAAGCTTGTTCGAAGAGCCAGTTTTTTCCCCCGGAAAGTCAGGAGGGAGGGGGCCAATCCCTAGGGATGGAGTTCCATTCTTCCTTCAGACTTTAATCAGTCCCTTCACAACTTGTCAATGCTGATACAGACATTATCTCACATGACCACCAAACCCCAAATTGACATGGATCATTGATCTAGGTCAGGCTGGCATAACCTGCTGCTCTCCAGGTTTTTGGGACTCCCAGAAGCCATAGCCAGCTTGACCAATGATCAGGAAGTCTAGGAGCACAGTTTGTGCAGGTACAGTAGATACTGGTTTCAAGCGACAAAACTGTACCCACATATTCAGGCTTGGCATTTCTTATCTCCATTATAACAGGGATCCTAAATTAAATTTCATTGCAGCATCCGCAAGTTCAAAATGATAGGCTTCTTTTGCCTGCAATATAAAATGAAAGCTTAACAGCCAAAATGTAAGGATGATGGAGGAGGTTTGCTGAAACAAAGCTAAACGTTTACAGCTTGTGGCTTTCACTCCTAAAGAAAAGTTTTGTCTTTCAGCTGAAACTTGGAAAATCAAAATACAGCATGGAGTAAACACTGTAAAATCAGATTCAACAACACATTGCAATCATCCTAACAGATGCTTTCCAGGGGATTATATTTTATTTGATCCCTTTATCATTTTAACTTGCCTCTTAGTTTTACACTGTTACACTAGTTTGTTGAAAGGAAATTTGTTTTCATATCCGCCCAGAGAGCAGGATGCAGAAGATTGTTTAACAAAAATAAATGTCCTTCTCACATTTAAATAAATAAGTATATTCAAGTACTTTATGCATGAGGATTTTTCAGAAATTCTTCATGCTTTTTTTTTTTTTTTTGCATTCAGGAAAAGCGTGAAAGCGGATGTTCCTATTTCACAAAGTCAGTGCTTTCAGAGTTTAAAGAGCTGATGTGTTTGTCTTTGCATTTTACTACTTTTTTTTGACAAAAAACATAGATATTTACACCAGGACCAGGGGTTTCACCATCACTATTCCAGCAGCTCGCAGCCTGTTGTCATTACAAAACCAGAAATTAACTGGTTGCTTACTGGCAAAAATCAACAAATTAAAAAATAAATAAACTGAGCACTGAAAAAATAGCCCTAGAACATTATTAAAGCACAAAAGAGGCATTAATATTTTAAGTCACATGCAATATACAAAGCAAACCAACAACCTTACTTCCCTCCCTTACTTTTTGTCATAGGAGCAAAATATTGGCTATGCCCCATAAACTGGTTTGTAATAAATATTTGTGTGCAATGAGAATGTTAATGCAATCCACATTTTAACGCATACAGCACGATCCCT